CCTGTAGGGATCTTATTCCAGCTGGTAGGATCGCTATAGGGATCCTGTGACAGCTGGTAGGATTGAGAAGGAGGATCCTTACAGGTTGTCTGCCGGATTCTGTATAGGGTTTCTGTAGGATCCATACCGGGTTTCTGTAGGATCCATACCGGGTTTCTGTGGGATCCTTATGAGGTTTCTGTAGGATCCTTATAGGGTTTCTGTCGGATCCTTAGATGGGTGTCTGTAGGATCCTTATCGGGTTTCTGTAGGATCCTTATAGGGCTTCTGTACGACACCTGTAGGTTTTTTTTATGGGATCCTTGTCGGGTTTCTACAAGATCCCTGTTGGTATTCTTTAGGATCCCTGCAGGGTTTCTATATACTCCCTGTAGGTTTTGTTTTATATGATCCCTGTAAGGTTTTCTTTAATAGGAACCCTGTAGTTTTTTGTTTATCGGATCCCTGTATGGTTTCTATCGGAACCCTCTAGGTTTTTAAAGGATCCTTTCGTTTTTTTTTTTTTTTTTTTTTTTTTTTTTTTTTTTTTTTTTTTTCTGTACGGTTTCAATCGGATCCCTGTAGGTTTTTTTGTTATAAAGAATCCCTGTAGGGTTTTTATAGGGTCCCTGTGCGGCTTCTATCGGATCCCGCAGTTTTTTGTTTTTTCTTCCAGTACGGTTGTTATCGGGTCCCTGTACGGTTTCTGTCGGATCCCTGTAGGTTTTTTGTATAGGGTCCCTGTAGGGTTTTTCTCGGGTCCGTGTGCGGTTTCTATAGGATGCCTGCAGGCTTTCTATAGGATGCCCGACTATAGGATGCCTGTAGGTTTCCACAGGATGCCTGTAGGCTTTCTAAAGGATGCCTTGTAGGGTTTCTATAGGATGCCTGTAGGGTTTATATAGGATGTTTGTAGGGTTTCTATCGGATGCCTGTATGGTTCCTATGGGACCCCTGTAGGGTTTCTATAGGAAGACTGTTGGGTTTCTATAGGATACCTGTTGGGTTTCTATAGAAACCCTCGCTTCTCTAGCGGCGCGCACACGTAAGTCACCACTCCGATGCAGTACCGAAGTCCTGATGGACTCCCCCTTTTGTTTATTCATTCCCGGCGTTGTTGTTGTTGTTGTTGTTGTTGCTGTTGTTGTTGTTGTTGATGTTATTGTTGTTTTTGTTGGGGGGGGGACCTCGGGGCCCGGGGACGATTCCTGCCCCTCCCGGAGGAGAGCGCTGGAGGAGCCCGAGCGCCAGGGCCCAGGGAAGGTCCTTGTCCTTGTTGTTGTTGTTGTTGTTGTTGTTGCTGTTGATGTTGTTGTTGTTGTTGTTGTTGTTGTTGTTGTTGTTGTTGTTGTTGTTGTTGTTGTTGTTGTTGTTGTTGTTGTTGTTGTCGTTGTCGTTGTCGTTGTCGTTGTCGTTGTCGTTGTCGTTGTCGTTGTTGCTGTTGTTGTCGTCGTCGTCGTTGTTGTTGTTGTCGTCGTCGTCGTCGTTGTCGTCGTCGTCGTCGTCGTCGTCGTCGTCGTCGTCGTCCCCCCCGCGACCCGGCCCGCGACCCACCCGCGACCCACCCCGCGACCCACCCGCGACCCACCGTCGACCTACCCGCGACCCACCTGCGACCCAACCCGCGACCCACCTGCATTGTTTTGACAAAAATCGGCGCCTGCGGCAGGCTATTTGTATAGCTTGAAAATTGTGCGCCTGCGGCGGGTTTCTTCACAGCCTGGCAGACTGCAGACGTCCCCGCCGCCCCTCTTTCTGTTATCCGCAACTGCGGGGTGCTACGTTTTTTTTGTTCGTTCAAAATCCGCCTGTAGGGGGGCATGCCCGAACTAAGCTGAGACATCTCGCCATGGGGGAGACGGGTCTCGAGGTTTCGGATTCGAGGTTTCCGGGGGTTCGGCTTAGAGGTTCAAGGTTCGCAGTTTTCGCACGTTTCCGTCGGTTTTCGGCGGCGGTTTTCCAGCCTCGGGATGCTTGCCAGCAGCTGCGCCTCGCCGAGGGCGTGCCGGGGGTGCCCAGATCGTCCCGAATGGTCGCCGGAGATCCGAGATATGACCCCAAAAACCACATTCGCCGTGGGGGAAGCGAGTTTTAAGTCGGGCCTGTCTCCCTACAGGGGGATTTATGACGAAGAATAAAAATTACCCCAAAAACAGTCAAAACATAGTCTGGGGATTATTTTTTGAGTATTTTTTTACCTTCTTGGTGCATTTTTGGGGTATTTTTCCTTGTTCGTCGAAAATCCCCCTGTAGGGGGAGACGCCCGACATAAAGCGAGTTCTGAGGGGAACGGGTCCTGAGGTTTTGTAGCCGGCTTTGGTCTCTCGGGGCCCTCCACTCGGGGGTGGACAGGCCTCCTACCCTGGCACGTCGATTGGCGAATTGGCCGTTTTCGGTTCGCGAGAGGGCCTCGCGGCCGTCCTTTTTGCGGGTCCAGGTCCGCCGGTTTCGGTCCCAGGCCGTTTTCCCTAAGGGGAGATTGACTAAAAGGAGGTTTGTCCACCGCCGATCCACGGGCCCGAGGGCCGTCAGAAAATGATACAGGATGAATCAGGAGGGAAAAACACACAGACACAATGAATCGTCGACTCGGCAGAAAATATGGGAAGATATGGGCAGTGGGGGGGGGGGAAGACAAAAACCCAGAAAATATAGGAAAATATGGGGAATCATTTTTGTTTGTGTGTAATGATTCGCGTGTCCCAGGGCCCCTTCAATGAAGGTCTCGTCCTGGGGGAAGGTCCAATGATCCAGGATGGAGGTCTCGTCCTGGGGGAAGGTCCTGGGGTCCAGGACCCGCTTCCCCCTCCTCCTCCTCCTCCGCCTCCTCCTCCTGATCCTCCTGCTGCTCCTCCTCCTCCTTCTCCTCCTCCTCCTCCTCCTCCTCCTCCTCCTCCTCCTCCTCCCCCTCCTCCCCCTCTTTACCGAGGCATCGGGGAACAGTTGTTGACGTGCAGTCAGGGCGCCGAAGGAAGTGCCGCTCTGGGCCTGGGCGGGGCTCGATGCGCTTCGGGGCCCCTCCGCGGCGAGTGCCTCTGGCCCTCCTCGTGCACCAGGCGCTCGGGGTGCCAGTAAGTCAGGAGGGATAGAAACACACAGACACAATTCATCGTCGACTTCCAGGAGAATATGGGGAAATATGGGAAGTGGGGGGAGGACAAAAACCCAGAACATATAGGAGAATATGGGGAATATTTGTGTGTCCCAGGGCCCCTTCAATAAGGGGCTCCGTTCCTTATGTAGCGTTGTGGAAGTCGACTCGTGGAGAGGAAGCATGCTGCCATATGATTTCCAGATGTCTGACAGATGTGTCAGACATGTTTTACATGTGTAAAAACATGTTTTTACACATGTTAACCACATCTTTGATTCAATGGTAAGACCGTTAGGGTGTCCATTGTCATGGCATCCACACATGTACAGTCGGGGCCCTGAAGCAGGAACCCTTTTCGTTGGGGAGGGGCTCCGTGTTCCTTAATTGTTTCGCAGTTTGCCTTGGATTTCCCTTAGGTTTTCGATACGAAATCGAAGTTCAACTGATGGAAAATAGGGGCCTCGTTCCTCATTTAGGGTTCCTTAGGTCAACGCCCCAGCTGTAGCGTTCCTTGTTTCCGCAGCCCCTCTGTGAGCATGAGCTTCCAGAGGTCCGCGCCGATCTCTCGGGTCGGCGCCGGGGGCCCCCCATGGCAGCGTCACAGCGTCTGATCCTTGTGCGCCAGGCGCAGGGAGTGGCCTCCGGAGGCTTGTGTTTTCTCTTTGTGTGGAATGTGTGTGTGTGTGTGTGTGTGTGTGTGTGTGTGTGTGTGTGTGTGTGTGTGTGTGTGTGTGTGTGTGTGTGTGTGTGTGTGTGTGTGTGTGTGTGTGTGTGTGTGTGTGTGTGTGTGTGTGTGTGTGTGGGGGGGGCTGTTCGTTCCTCCACACAGTCGTCGTCGACTCGCAGGTCGACCATGCCAAATCGAGGGTACCCTTTGTGTCCTGTCTAGCCCGACCTCTGCAGCCCGCACTTCCTCGGGTGCTCTGGGGCCACGTTGCCGTCGGCGGGTGCTCCGGTGCCCTCGCGCGGGCCCTCTCCAGTCCGGTCCGACCGTGCTTCGCTGCCCCTCGGGGGTCCCCTCTCAGGAGCGAAAGAAGGTCGTACATGTGCATGAGTCCACGCTGGTTTCGAGGGCACGCATTGGACAAATGTTCGTATTAAACGCGGCCGGTCTCGCGAGTCGAGGGGCCGTGTTCATGTACATAGCTGGGCGCGTACGTCCTTTGTGGGCTCCCTACCCTCGTCGCCACGACGGGGCGCAGCTCGGGCAGCTGGTGCGCGCGAGCGCCGCGAGGCGCACCTGAGGCGCGCGAGAGCGCCGGCGCGTCGGCGGGGCCGCCTGGCCCCGCCTGGCGAGCCCGCGGAGCGCCGGTGGAGGGAGACAAGTCAGCAACACTCCCCCCCTCCTCCTCCTCCCATCCCCTCCTCTCCCTCCTCCTCCTCCTTCTCCTCCTCCTCCTCCTCCTCCTCTTCTCTCCTCTCCTCACCTCCTCCTCCTCTCCTCCTCCTCTTGAGCCCTCCTCCTTCCTCCTCCTCCTCTTGCTCTTCTCCTCCTCGCCTCCCTCCATCCTCTGCTCCTCATCCTCCTCCCCCCTCCTCCTCCTCTTGGGGCTCCTACTCCCCTCCTCCTCTTCTCCTCCTCCTCTCCTCCTTCCTCCTCCTCCTCCCCCGCTGGGGGGGGCCAAGAGCATCCCCACTGGCATGGCCTTGGCCCCACGGACCGATGCCCTCCCTGGATGGAGACATGCGGTTGAGGGAACCAATTAAGCAACACTCCCCCCCTCCCCCGCAATTCAAAGTTGACGGGTTTTCGCAAGACCGCTCGGAGGCCCCAAATCGGAAGGTCCGAAACCAACATTGCATTTGGGGGGAGGGGGGGAGGTTGAAACCATGTGTTCTGCATGAGATGAGTGTCGCTTAATTGTTTCCGACACCTGGCTGTCTTTGGGCTGCCTCACGGGGGCCGATTATCTGAGCCGCCGCCGTGTCAGCTCGCCCTGCTCCGGCGGACGGGCGCGGAGCGAAGGGCCGCGCTCGAGGGGCCGGGCGAGGAGCCGGGCGGCGGCAGAGCCGGGAGGCTGGCCGCGCGCCTGGCGCTGGAGCTGGCGCTGGCGCTGCTCGTCGCGGGGGCCTTTGCCGAGCTGGGCTCGAGGCGCAAGGTTTGTGGACGACGATCCATGGAGAGGCAGGGCTCATTTCGATTCCTCCGATTCGATTCGATTCGATTTCGATGGCTTCTGATCCGATTCGATTCGACTTGGGATTCCGATCTGGGTTCCGATTCGTTATTGGACGCATACTAGTCTGCCGATGTCCGCCTATTCGACTTTTCCCGACTCGGCTGCCGACTTCCGCCGATCCGACTCATTTCGATCGCCGATCCGATTTGTCGACTCGATTCTGGGCTCCCCTGGAGAGGAAGCATGCTGCCAAATAGTCTCCAGATGTAGTAAGCATGTTTCAGACATGTCGTGTAAAAGGTCATAGTTGAAACCTCTTCAGAATATCTTCAGACATTTTAGACGCTGTTCGGGTGTCCATTGTCATGGCATCCACCACGCAAGGTGTTCGACTCGGGGGACGACAAGGCCAACTACGTCGAGAACCAGCTGATCCGGCCCCTGGACCACCCCAGCGCGGGCCAGTGGGCCGTTCGGATCCGCGAGATGCTCGCGGACGGCGGCGTCATCGGCGTCTGGGAGCCCGTGAGCCTGGCCTTCAAGCTGCTGTTGGTGGAGGCGTTCGGGCTCGAGTGCCGCGTCTTCACCGGCGCCGCGGTGGTGCTGCACGCGGCCTCGTGCGCGCTGGCCGTGGAGCTCTGCCTGCGGCTGCGGCGGCTGCTGGACGGGTCGCGGCGGGGCGCCAGGGTGGGGCTGCTGCACGCGTGGTCGGCCGCGCTGCTCGTGGGCGTCCACCCGCTGAGGGTGGAGCCCCTCGCGTGGGCCTCAGGTCAGTCTCGTTCAACCCATCCCCATCCCCACCGAACCATGGTAATTATCTCAGCCCCGCCATCCCACCACCCCAGAGTTGGGGATGGGCCCCTCGACACCCGAAGGGAACAGCCGATATCCTCATCTGGTGGGGAAATCTGCAGGTGGGGCCCAGGCCTCGATGCGCCTCGATGCTCATCCCGAAGAAGAAGTGAATAAACATAAACTTACGGGGGTCCGCGCAGATCCAAGAAGTCCGCCCGGAGCGCCGACAGTCTATCTCCATGCCGTGCTTTCTTCTCTCTATCATCAGGCCTGCCCTTCGAGATCTCCACCGCCCTCGCGCTGCTGGCCGCGCTCGACGACGACGACGACGACGACGGCGACGGCGACGGCGACGGCGACGGCGACGGCGGCGGCGGCGGCGACGGCGACGGCGACGGCGACGGCGACGCCGACGCCGACGCCGACGGCGACGGCAACGGCAGGCGACGGCGACGCCGACGCCGACGCCGACGCCGACGCCGACGCCGACGCCGACGCCGACGCCGACGCCGACGCCGACGGCAACGGCAGGCGACGGCGACGGCGACGGCGACGGCGACGGCGACGGCGACGGCGACGGCGACGGTGACGGCGACGGCGACGGCGACGACGACGACGACGACGACGACGACGACGACGACGACGACGGCAGCGACGACGACGGCGGCGACGACGACGACGACGACGCTAGCGACTCGACGGCGACGGCGAGGGCGACGGCGACGGCGATGGCGACGGCGACCACGACGACGGCGACGGCCACGGCGGCGGCGACGGCCACGGCGGCGGCGACGGCGACGGCGACGACGACGGCGAAGTCGCCGACGGCGACGCCGACGACGACGCCGACGCCGACGACGACGACGACGACGACGACGGCGGCGATGGCAACGGCGCCGGCGATGGCGACGGCGACGGCGACGATGGCGGCAGACGATGGCGACGGCGACACGACGGCGACGGCGACGGCGGCGACGGCGACGGCGGCGACGGCGACGGCGACGGCGATGGCGCTTATCTGCCATGATACGCCCGTATTGGATACGCAGGACGTACCAGATTGATACGTACTGGATTGATGCGTTACGTATTGGTCCAATACGTAGGCCGTCTTGGGGCTCCGTATTGAGCTGCGTATTGGGGTCCTCCTCCTCCCATCCTTTTCTCTTGCAGCTGCTCTTCTTCATCCTCCTCCTCCAACTCTTGCCCTTCCACGTGGGTGGCGTCGTCGTCCGTCGTCTGTGGAGCGCCCCAGGGGCCTCAGTGGAGAACAAGGAGACTCGGTGGAGGCAATGGGGCCAGTGGAGAACATTGGAGATTCGTTGCTTTTACGCCTCCTCTGAGGTGGACCTGGGGCCCAGGTGAGGGGTTATACGGGCCCCTGGGAGCTGTTATGCGAACCTTTTGGGATGGGCCCAAGGCTGGTGAGCCTGTTGGAGTCATCTGGGGCCGTCTTGGGATGCGCCCAAGGCCTACAATTCGGGCCGTCTTGGAGCACCCCCTCTTCCCAACTGACCTCCTCCCACCTCCCATCTGGGGGAGGGGGGGGGGAGGCCTTCGCGTGGTGGGGGAGCGGTGATCCTGTTGGAGTCATCTGGGGCCGTCTTGGGATGCGCCCAAGGCCTGCGATAGGTCAAGTCGGGCCGTCTTGGAGCACGCCCTCTTCCCAACTCCTACCTCCCATCTGTGTGGGGGGGAGGGCTTCGCGTGGTAGGGGAGCGGTGGGCCTGTTGGAGTCATATGGGGCCGCCTTGGGACGCGATCTAGGGCCTTGGGCCTGGGTAGGGTCGGCGTTCCGTCTCCCGCGCCCCGCCCGCGGTTCGCAGCGGGGCGGTCTCAGAGAACCCTACCAGACGGTAGCGTATCCTACCAGACAGTAGCGAACCCTACCGGACAGTAGCGAACCCTGCCAGGCAGCAGTGCCACCAGACAGTAGCGACTGTGGCGGACCGTACCAGACAGTAGCGATCCTCACCAGACAGCACCAGGCAAGAACGATTTCTACCAGACAAGGGCGTGGTGTCCACGCGCCCACGCGTGGGGGGCTTCACTGATCTGGGGGCGGCAATGGGCGGCAGGTGGCATTCGAGGCGAATGCGGCATGACATGCTCGCCCTCCTCATCATGCTGCTTGTCTTGCTCCTCCTCCCTCTCCTCGTCCTCCCCCTCCTCCGCCTCCTCCTCCTCCTCCTCCTCCTCCTCCTCCCCCTCCTCCTCCTCCTCCTCCTCCTCCTCCTCCTCTTGCTCCTCCTCCTCCTCCTCCTCTTGCTCCTCCTCCTCCTCCTCCTCCTCCTCCTCCTCCTCCGACCTCCTCCTCGTCATCCTCGTCATCCTCATCCTCCCCCTTCCCTGCACCCCTTCCTCCACCCCCCTGCCCCTCCCAGTCCTCTTCTTTCTGGCCACGCATCGGCCGCGTATTGGGGCGAGGGCGGGCGGCGAGGAAGGACGAGGTGGGGGAGGGCGGGGGAGGGGGTGCATGGGGTGGGGGGAGCGCGAGGGGGGGGCAACCAGGGAGACAAGGAGAAGGAGGAGGAGGAGGAGGAGGAGGAGGAGGATGAAGAGGAGGAGGAGGCAGGAGGAGGTGGAGGTGGAGGAGGAAAATGGGGGGGAGGAGGGGGAGAAAAATTAGAAAATGGATGAGGGAGAGGAGGAGGAGGAGGAGTGAGGAGGAGGTGGAGGAGGAGGAAGGGGAGGGCGGATGAGGAGGAGGAGGAGGAGGAGGAGGAGGAGGAGAGGAGGAGGAGGAGAGACGAAGTGGAGGAGGACGAAGAGGAGAGGAGGAGGAGGAGGCGGAGGAAGGGAGGTGGCAGGAAGGATGAGGGGCGGTGGCGGGAGGAGGAGAGGCGGAGGAGGAGGAGGAGGAGGAGGAGGATAGGAGGAGGAGGAGGAGGAGGAGGAGGAGGAAGAGGACGAGGAGGCCCAGGTTGTTGCCGCCGGGGAAGCATTATGCAGCCCCGGGGCGCTTTTCGAGGGCACCGGGGGAGGTGATATACAGCCCCAGGGCACTTTCAGAGGGCCCCGGGGGAGGTGTTATACAGCCCCAGGCCGCTTTTGGAGACCCCCCGGGGGAGGTGGTATACAGCCCCGCGGAGGTGTTACACAGCCCCGGGGCGCTTTTCGAGAGCCCAGAGGGAGGTGTTGCACAGCCCCGGGGCGCTTTTGGAGGGCCCCAGGGAGGTGTTACACAGCGCCAGGGCGCTTTTAGAGGGCCCCGAGGGAACGGCTATACAGCCCCTGGCCGCTTTGGGAGATCCCCTGGGGGAGGTGGTATACAGCCCCGCAGACCACCTCCTCCTCCTCCTCTTCGTCCTCCTCCTCCTCCTCCTCCTCCTCCTTTCCGCTCTTCGTCCTACTCCTCCTCCTCCTCCTCCTCCTCCTCTTCATCCTCCTCCTCTTCCTCCTCCTCCTTCTGCCCCTCTTCTTCTTCCTCCTCCTTGCCCCTCTCGCTCCTCCTCCTCCTGCCCCTCTTCCTCCTCCTGCCCCTCCTGGGTTGCGAATTGCGCTCGCAATGAAAATGTCCAGCTATAACGCCCCCAGACGGCTACAACCCCCCCGTGGGTGTCATATGTTGGGCCCGGCGAGGCGGTTGGAGCCGAGGAGGCGGCGCAGCAGGAGGCCGAGGAGGCAGCCCATGAGGATCCCTCGGGGCGCAGGGCGGCCGCGTGGCCAACGGAACCAGGGGTGGTCGCGGCCGCCGCGCGGGCGCTGCCAGCGGACGCCCCGCCCGGCCATGTCGTGCACGTCAGGGTGCAGTGCGACGAGGGCGGGCACGGGGCTGCGTGGTGCAACGCGGAGCCACTGCCAGCGTTCGAGGTGACAGTGGGGTCCACCGGCGTCGGCTCCACCTGGGCCGCCATGCGCGTTGCCCGCGCGTGCTGCATGAAATCCCAGCAGGGTCTGAACAGAGAGGCGGTGCACGCATTCCGGAGCGAGTGCTGCAACAGGCTCCGCATGGCGACCGTTGCCGCGGGGCTTCAGCGGCCGCGGCGGAGCCTCCCGGAGGCGGCGCAGGCGCGGGGCCCGCGGCGGCCGCTGCGGGGCCTCCCGCGGCCGCGGCAGTCAAGGAAGGAAAAGCGGCATACGCGTAAACATTCAGAGGTCCGCGCGGTTTTCTTGGATCGGCGCTGGGCCCCCCTGGCGGCGCCGATCCCAGACGTCCGCGCGAACTTCCGGAAGTTTACGTTTAGGTCGTTGTTTTGTTCTTCTAGGCAGGGCCCCCGGGCGGCGGGGCCGCCAGCGGCCGCGGCCAGGGGCGGCGGCGCCAGGGCACAGTCGGCGCGCGGCGGTTGCGGCGGCTGGCGGCGCAGAGCGGCGTCGCGCAATGCGGCGCCAAAGCGGCGTTGCAGGCCAGAGTGTTGGCCGCGGGGATGAAAGTCCCAGGGCTGGACTGACGCGGGGTCGTCGCCAGGGGGGCGGTGGGCGACAGACACGTCACATCGCCATTTTTCCCGCGGTTCTTGCGCGCGCGCCGCGCCGCCGACCCCGCGGGGACCATCGTCGCCATCGCCGTCCGAACCCGTGCGATTTGGCCGCGCATCGGCCGCGCATGGGGGCGCCGGCGGGCGGCGGCCTTCCCAGAGCGATCTGGGGCCCTCTCGATGCACGGCGGCCTCGGCGATCCACGTCGCCGCCCGTCCTCCGTCGCCGTTGCTTCTCGAGCGCAGGGCGGGCGTGGCCCGCGGCGCCGCTTCGGAGCCGACGCCGTCGCGCTCCGGCGCGATTGCTCTAGCCCCCGCGGCGTCGGCTTCCGAGCGCCCCCGCTCGCCCCCCCGCCGGGCGCAGTCGCGCTTCAGCCTCGGCGTGTTCGGGGCCCCCTTCGACGCGCGCCTCAGCTTGGGCGATTACGACCGCGGCCGCTAGGGTGGTCAGCGTGGTGTTCTCGTTGTCGGCGGCGGCGGCGGGCGCGGCGGCGGCGGCGGGAGCGGCGGCGGCGCGTGCGTCGCCGCGAACCATGATGTTCTCGTTGTCGGCGGCGGCGGCGGAGGCGCCAATCCTGGTCCCCGAGACACCCCCCGAGTTTCGGACCAGTCGAAATCAGAGTCGCAGCTCGGAGATCTGGCGCCCTTTCGGCCATGGGTGGGCGAACGAGCACGGCCGCCCGGACAACCTTCCATGGGCCCCGTCCTTCGAGATGCCGCTCGCACCGCTTGGCGGCCACGTTGGGGCCCGCCCCCACGCGAGCCATCGCCCCCGCAAGTGCAAGAGCGTGGCGTTCTGCTGCGCGCGCGGGTGCCGCGTGGAATTTCGGTGCTCGCATGCCTTCCAGAACGCGTGCCCCGGGCGCCGCAGCGCGCGCGGGCGGGCCA